TCTATCTATCTATCTATCTATCTATCTATCTATCTATCTATCTATCTGGAGAGCGAGTGGCAGGCAGAGGCAGAGGGAGAGAGAGAATCTCAAATAGACTCTGTGCTGAGTGCAGAACCCAATGCGGGGCTTAATCCCACGACCTTTTGATCACAACCTGAGCCCAAATCCGGGCTGACTGAGCCACCAGGGTGCCCCAGACTATCCCTGCTTTAGACAGACAGACATAATAGCTAACACTCACACCTTACTGCGTGCTGCATACTGTTCTAAGTGCTACGCATCTGTATCTATCTGCACCTACATCATCCGTAAATCTGCCCCTACATCATCCGTAAATCTGCACCTACATCATCCGTAACTATACCTATATGTTCAACTATATTAACTCCTTTACCCCGTACAACAACGCTCTCGGGGATATACCATTAGCACTCCCATTTCAAAGACAGGAAAACTGAGGCAAAGGGAGTCTGGACTTCCCCAAAGTCACTTAGCTGGTGACTGGTGCAGCTGGGATGCAAGCCCAGGCTCTAGAGCCCCCACTCTTCACCGCCCCCCCCAGGGGCAGGGGGTGAAGGGCCTCTCCACATAAATATGGAAAGTCAGGGAAGATGGCCAGCTTTAGACCCCTCACATGTTCTATACAGTTTAATTTTGATAACCAGGTTACCGACTGTTTTAAGAGCCAATAAGGTTAAGTTTCTATAGAGATCAAAGACAGTAACAGATGGAAGGGGGGGTGAACCTGCATCTCTCTGCTTCCAAATGATCTAGTGCAGAACAAAGTCTCCGTGGGCAGAAGTTACATGAGAAGGTGGGTAAAGCAAGAAACAAGGAGGTGTTGCTTTCGGCAGGAAGCAGAAAGAAGCGCACGTCCGTGGGAACAGAAGCACAGAGTGGCTGGTATGTGGCAGATGAGAACTCCGGGGCTAGGGAGCACAGACAGGTGATAACGGGGGAGCAGGGAGGCCCCTCAGAGTCTCCCTTCTGGAGGTCCCAGAGTCCATGGCTGCCTGTCCTCAGCCACCCTGTTATTCTAGACTTCCGTTTAGCCAGCACATCAGGTAAAGAAGGTAAGGCCTCTCGGGCCGTACATCTCAGGTCTCCCCCGCACAGACGTCCTTGTTCTAAAACTGGACAGATCAGAGGGATCCATTGCATTTTTCATATCAATAGGGCTAAGAGGCAAAGCATGTGCTCAGATCACTGGGGTTTTGAGTGTTATCGTACTGCTGCTTGTAATAAAGGCGTTAGCTTCATAAACCTCGCGCACCTTTGTGAGACGAAGCACCCAGTAATGATCACTGTGGCCACTCCTACTGTCACTACCATTTATCATTGCTGGCCTCGGGCAGGGCACCGCACACAGGCGATAAGTAGTTCGCACCGCACAGCACGCAGCCCTACTTCATCAGAAGCTCTAGGGCAACGCCAGAGAATCAGGATTGTTAGAATCCCACCAGGGGATTCTTGCCCTGCCCATGTGTCCCCACTTTATGTACAAGGTACTAAGCAGTAAGGCGGTGGCCAAAGATAACGTCACTACATGTAGGATTTGAACTCAACCAGACTTCAGAACCCGGCCTCTTAACTGCTCTGTGGTCCAAGCTCCAACAATTAAGCTTGCGACTGAAAAAAGGCACAAAGTAAGCAAGATGGCTTTCAACACCCGCGAGGATCTACCAGCACCGACCTGTATATTGTCACACAATTTCCCAAACTGGTATTCTCTGTAAGCATACACAGAGGTTTCCTATTTTAAATTAAAAAAGAAAATAACAGTGCATTGTATTTCTCCCACATTTGCAGCAAGTCACTTCATTTCATTTTATTTTATTATTATTTTTTAAAGTAGGCTCCACGCCCAGCACCGAGCCCAATGCAGGGCTTGAACTCATGACCCCGCAATCCAGACCTGAGCTGAGACCAAGAGTCAGACACTTAACCGACCGAGCCACCCAGGCGCCCTTACAACTCACTTCATTTTAGCAAGATTTGGGTCTCTTTTAGCAATTTCGGTGTTTCATCAAATGGGACTGTCTGCATTAGAAGGGCAACCAAAGCCCTGCAATAATTAGACAAATGTGGGAAACTGAAAGTAGAGTAAATGTACAAGCATGAGAGAGGCAGAAACATAAGGGTAGCTATCCTTTACCGCAAGACGTTGACTTTCTGTCCACCATATTCACACGCCTGGTCTCAGTGCGGAGCTTCCCATCAGTGTTCTCCACCAGGTTGGCAAGGTCATCAATTATCTCTAGAAAGGAAGACAGAGATGCATGGTTAATACTCCAGAAATACTCCAGCTCACATCACAGTGTCAGAGCTGTGGCCTCCCTACTAATAAATTCACTCCTGTGCAGTGAGGGGAAAGGTAAAGAGCTCATGTATGTTCTTTGAAATCTGCAATTCTGATTCATAAAAGGGGGTGGTGGTGGTGTGGGGGGAGTAGTGGTAAAGAAGAAAACTGATTTCCTGTGAGCCTGGGACACAGAGGAGGACGGTCAGAAATCCAAGCGAAAGAAAGCAGGACCCAGCAAAGTTATGCTCGGCCAAGTTGTCATTCCAGCATAAAGCTGGTGGATGGACTATGGGAGACTCCAGGGACTACTGGGGTCCTTCTCGAGAAAACAGCTTGATGATGAAATCTAGCCAACCAAGAGGCAAGCAGAAATAAAGAACTCTAGGACGGAGAAGCCAGAGACCATGACCGAAGAGATGCTGGAGAGAGCTGGGGCCATCAAAATACTGAGCTGGGGATCAGCAGATACATGGATTACTTTACAAAAAGGTAGATAAATGTTGTAAACAGTGATGCTATAATTATAACTGAAAGTCAGGAAGCATTTGGGGGGCTGGGGGGTTTGGGGTTGGGGAGAGAAAGGTGGAAGGAAGTTGGAGGTGTTATTTTCTCCATCACTTCACAGAGGAGTCCTATTGAGCTGTTGAAAAGGGAAACATGGAGACCCATGGCTTTTCAAAACCACCATCTTTTTTTTTGTCAACCTTAGATGGATCTTTTAGTAATTACTATCTCTTGTCAAGAACACTTTATGTGAAGTTCAGCTTTTCTTTTTTTTTTTTTAAACACTAATCCTCTTCTTTTAAAATTGGAAGTATCACTGACACTACGCTAATCTCCTTAAAGTGAAATTAAGCACTTAGCAACACTTAAAATAGTATATATTGCATGATCCTAATGATATAAAATTATTTCTATCCACCCTTTCATATTGGACAAACCTACAAGGATATTTCTGGATGATGTCAACCTAATGTGAATAATGATCATTTCTAGGTGCTGGGCTCCGGGATGATCTTGCTTGCATTTTCTGTACTGTTTCAATTTCTTCTAACGAGTACACATTATTATTTCAGTTTTGGTTCCTGTTCCTCACTCCTTCCTCCCTTGCTCTTTTTTGTTGTTGTTGCTTTAGAGAAACACTGTCCAATATGAGTCACTGTTTCTGTTAAAGAAATAAAAGGAATCGAAGGAAGTTTCCAGAAGGATGCCGGAGCTGAGTTTTGAAGGCCATGTCGGTGAAGAGGTAGGAAGAGAGCAACGCATATGGAACGAACAGCGTGTGGAAGGCACAGAAGAGGGGCTGCTCTCTCCTGGCTCCTGCAGCCCTTCCTACCACCTCTGTTTACTTACAGACCCTTAAGCTTCACATCTAATAATTTGCTCACATGTCTTTCCTTTTCAGAAAGAGTACAACAGAGACTCCCTTTCATTCATGGCTCTACCTGTGATGTCCAGGAGAGTGCCTAGTACACAGCCAGATAAAATAAATACAGATAAACACAGATAAAAGCAACGAATGGATGAAGTCTAAAAGAGAGACATAATTTTAAAGCACTCTGCTGCATCTTAGACTAAGCCAAATTTGTCAAATATTACCTATAGAACACCTGCCTAGGAAACCTTTCACTGCCATTTAACAACTCACTCGTGACTCTCTATTCCTTCATATTCAGTGACATTCTCTCTCCCCATCTTCCATCTGTCTCCAAGCTCTGTCTAGAGTCTCCTCTTCCCCTTAAATGCTGACAATCCCACACTGCTGTGTATTTTTACTCTCTAATACTACCATGGTGATGTTACAGACCTTTTGGTTTCCTCAATACGTAAATTAAAAACTTGAAAATCTGCTCCACATAGCTCTCCAAAATTCTGGACTCAGGCAGCAAACTGCCTACTACTTATCTGTACCCTGAGATTTCTACAAATATCAGACTCTCAAGGTCTCTGAAACTAAACTCTTCATCTTCCCCTAAACCCGAGTCCCCTCCTACATTCCCTGTCTCCATCAATGGCACCAACATTCACTTGCTGGCCTACGCCAGAAATCTTCACTTGGCCTCCCCCCTTCCCCAGTTCAGACATGCCACTTGCAGCCACTTGCAGCCACTCAGGTGACCCTGCCTCCAGGATCTCTCTATCCCACGATATCGCTTAAATTCTGTTACTCGTATCTCACAAAATCGTGCCAGTGTTTCCAAAAACAATGTCCTAACTTATCTTCCTGTTTCTAGTTCTGCATCTTCTCAATCCATTCTCCATACTATAGCCAGGGACATGTTTTATTTTATTTTCAAGCTTTTATTTAAATTCCAGTTAGCAGACAGTGTAATATTAACTTCAGGTGTAGAATTTAGTGATTCATCACTTCCGTACAACACCCAGTGCTCATCACAATAGTGCCCTCCTTAAGCCAGGAAGATATTTTAATTTTTTCATATTTTAACTAATTGAAACTTAAAAGCTGGATGTGGATGGTGACTACTGTCTTGAGCAACACAGATCTAAAGCAATCACTTAAAAAAAAAAAGAAAACCACACACATATACACACACCCCAAAAGGTATAGATTAAAAAAAAAAAAAAGAGGGAGTAAAATTAAATACTAAAAAAAATGCAGGATTTACCCAAAAGAAGGCAGGAAAGTAGGCACAAAGGAACAAAAACCAGACAGGACAAAAGGAACATAAATACCTAGAAGGCAGACCTAAACCCAACTATATCAATAGTCACCTTAAATATAAATGGACTAACTCCTCAATTAAAAGACAAAGAATATCAGCCAATGGGGCGCCTGGGTGGCTCAGTCGTTAGGTATCTGCCTTCGGCTCAGGTCATGATCCCAGGGTTCTGGGATTGAGCCCCGCATCTCCCTCTCCCATTCCCCCTGCTTGTGTTCCCTCTCTTGCTGTGTCTCTCTCTGTCAAATAAATAAAATCTATTTAAAAAAAAAAAAGAATATCAGCCAAGATTAAGAAAGAAAGAAAGAAAGAAAGAAAGAAAGAAAGAAAGAAAGAAAG